ATTATTCCTCATAGCAGTCACATAAAAGTGAGAGGTGAGTATTATGTCTTAGTACAGCTACTCATTAGTATTTTGGTATTGGAAAAATGCTTGAAAAGAGCCTACGACGAACAATTAAAGCAACAACAAAAGCACTGAGTAAAGCGATTAGGTCATTAATTACTCATTTTTCACTGTCCACTTTCCAGGTCCTATTTGTCTCATGGGATTCAAATTTCGAGGGAAACATAGTTGATCGTTCAAAGAGCTAAAGTGGAATTGACAGATGAACTTCACAGTTCCATCTAATACCACTTCACTACTTCATCAGGCAGACGCGTTCGATCACCGACAAAATGCGTTCCACAGTTTAGCTGCCTGATACCTTGTGTAAGTAGAAAAGCTCAGTGACAGTGGGGATAATAGAGCAATTATCTAATTGCGAGTGGAAAGCGGTGCAATGTTCTGCCCAGATACTGCAGTAATAGCGATGCAGATCATTAGAAAGATGGTGCTAGTTTGACTCTGCGCTGACCTCAAGCTCCTCACTCCTCCGAGGTCGGGAAACTTGTGCGACACTTCTCTGAGAAAACTACGCTCTCTGCAGTTGAAGAGGGAACGCTCTAGATTCGTCATCTCAGCGTTCCAACGAGAATGAACTCAACCAGTGCCCATGAACATTCATAAAAAAGGAAGAAATCCTCGCGCTGCGGATGAATCCACACACAAAAAGTTGGAAGGCGTTCACATGTGATGTGCGTGAGGAAACGATTCGAATAAAACGAGTGCTCCGATCCACACAGTTGACGTGAAAAGACGGGATGTCTAAGCTAAAAACGACAGTTTTGTGCTTTTCTTCATCACGCAGCCGAACACCTCTCACGAACCTAAATAGCTGTTCGCTGAAACTCAGCTTCCCCACCCCTTCCATGCACGTCGCCACTTCATCAGTACATTCAGTGGTGTTCTTTCCTTTCGTATGAACGTTATATTCGATGCTCACATTTGCCGTTTCCCTTTTCAACGAATCGTAGTTTATTCGAATAATATGACAGCATCAAAAATCCGCTTCCTTCTGTGATGATATGTCGACGCCGACGTTTGTGTGGGACGACTTGAATACACGAGCTTCATCTTCTTGAGCGATGCTTCCATATAACTTGTGCTGCTCGTATTTAGCTGTACAACTGTTCAAGATTCTAGGTCAGTTTAACATTCAGCACGTTCCGTTGTTACCGTATGCCTTGGGAGATGTGGGGAAATTATGGACTTGTTCAGCAGTTTTCACAAATTTAGTGCATTGTTTAGACGAGCTGCGCCAAATTGATCGATCTCATCGCTCATCGGGTTACCCGTATTTATCAATGCAGAGAGCAAATCCACATTCCCATGAGCACGTTTGCAACCCGTACCAGTTATACTTCTAAACAGAACATACGGTAGAATGCGATTGTGTTCCTCCAACCCTTGAGGTCGTTCAAACGTATTTTGGCGGGAACGTTTTTCCCGTTCCCAGATCCGCATTCTTCAGACCGAAGTGTCCGTCGATGTCGCTTCATTTCTATTTCTAGTTCACTGTAGGGTCTTAGTCCAAATCTTACTAAGTAGTCTTTCACTGCTTAATTTACTAAACGCGATTTTGTAGTTCGGTCGTGTTGTAAAGATGCATCGGATTATGTGCCTATAATGAATATGTGCTAAACTCTGTTTGTGCTCGAATTTCTTCTCGGTTTAGAGCTTTGATGGCCGTGGCGGAAGAGTCTGTGTTGAGTGTTTTTAGACGTTTTATGAAGTAGCCTCAGAGAGCCGATAAGGTGAGCTTATACACTTAGCATTGGCATTTTGTCGGACTAAGCGTCATGTACTGTTTAGTGATTCGATTCTGTTTATTCGCTTCTCTCCATTTGTTTAGGGTTTTGATAGCAGGTGTGGAATTTCTGGAAATTGGGAGAGAGAGGATAACCTAGCGCGTCCTTTCCTGAAGCTCCTGAATAGGCTAGACATTTGGCTGGTCTATGTGCGACATTCTCATCAAGGTAGAGTTTGTAATGTTTGTTGGCTGCATGAGTGTTTTTTATTTTCTATGCTGCTTTCAGTACACGAAGGTCGTATGAATTGAACAGAGTGCAAGACTGGTTGAAAAGTCTGTTCCCGGGAAGAAGTAGTCCATTACTTGAAGTCTTAAGCACTTATTAGGCTTGCGATTGTAGCATGTCGTATTAGCTTTACTTTAATGAATTATTCGTAGTCTGTTGATTTTGTGGTTCGAGTTATTCTTGGTGATTGGCACCTCTACCTCATTTCGGTGTAATTTCTTACATTGTGTTCTGATCACACAGAGCAGTTCTTGGAGAGCGATATGGCAGAGGATTTCGAAGGTGCAGGACAACGTTATCTGTTCCTCCTCCGGCCAGTGAAAGATCTAAGCAAAAGTTTTGAAACGGATATATCAAAAGAACTTGATGATTACTGTTTATCGCTTGGTGAAATCACGGCAAATGAGGAATTTGGGATCGATAATCAGCACAGGTATGCTGGAAGTAGTGTTTCTTGTTCTACTTTAGTGTCTTCATGTCTCGGCACTCTGTGTTTAGGTTTAACTTTGCTGAGGCAGCCATGCTTATCCAGGGATCGGCGTTTGTTTTTGGTAGGAAGGTCGATTACCTTCACTCGCAGGCTATGCACTTCTTCGAAACGTTGCAGCCGCAGAAAACCAAGAAGACAAGGAAGATAGCAGGTAGTGTTTTTCCTTCTGTGTATTTATGTGTTTTGCGTTCTATTGCGATGGTTTTGCAGACGAAGATGATGAAGGGTTTATCGACGAAAACGAGGCCGCCATTGATCCGTGCGATTTGCTTGACTATGGTTCATTAAAGCCGTGCAATGTCGAGTCACTCTACAGAGTATACGCAAGTGAGTGAAAACCTCCGTTCAACGTTGCCGAAACAGATCGATTGAAATGGGTGGAAATTTCTAGAGAGCAAGTACAAGGGCAACCCTCCAAAGATCAAGATTATGCCGATATCGCTGTTGCCTTTAGCTGAAAATGAGAAAAGTGGTGCCATAATTTATTCGATCGGTCACCGCGTGGAAGTGGTCGGCAAGACGGACGACTTCAGAATGAACTGCGGCTTCCTGAACAGCCGGGTAATTCCATGTCGAAAGTAACGAAAGTAAATTTTCTATAGCCCGTCTTTGCGTATTTCGATCATATTTTAGTATTTCGGTCTAGTGAACTTTTAGATATCGTGGTTCTCCTAGTGGTGTTTTACTGCTGTGTTAATTCTCTTTCAACAACAGATGTACGAATTTTGATGTTAAGTAATATTAATATTCAAGAATGGTTGCTAAGATTCCTTGTTTCGCAGTATACACACGCATAACCTGAAGTTCTAAGTTTGCGCTTTAAGGGTGTCTTACTGCTTCATCTGGGTCATGAACAAATCGTTGATGACTTTGCCAGTGACGCATTTGTTCGCTTGTGGCAACCACATCTCCTCCCCCCAAATGAGAACGCTAAACCGGCAACTCTGCCACAAGAAGACATAGTGTTGAATTTCCATAACCAACCTGCTGATTCTGGAAGGGGGTCACCTGAAGGTTAGTTCCCTCCGTACTTCTCTGCGATGGAATGTTTTGAGGGACAGTTTAAGATGGAGTTGCTGGCAGTGATCGTGGGCATGTATCGAGCGTTGTGGAAACGAGCCGACGGGTAACTGCGAACACATTTAACGACATTACTTCTGCCAGGTGTTCTTTTTTCATATGGTTTAAATTTACGAACATTGTCAATGAATTGTAAGATAAAATTATTTCCGACCAAGTACTCATCTCACGGAGGCAATAGGAGTCGAGAAGGAGGGAGTAGAACTTCTAGCGGAAGGCGATTTTGGATGCTGTGACGATTTCTACGCCGGTGAAACTCACACTCTACCTCTCCCACTCAGCAGCCGTAATATTCGCCGGCTGGAATCGCAAGCTTCGCCCGTACGACTGTCATTTTTCGTTTCTTTCTTTTTTTCTATGCACCAACGTTGCCTAGTTTTACTCTTTTAGTGGGATATCAATGAATCGGAAACCATTGAGAGTGAAGCCGAACGGATACTTCTAGATCCGTTTGAGCTCGTTCATTGGAAAGTCAAGCCTGTTGAGACAATTAAGAAATTCACCAGAGGCACCGCTGTGGCCGCAAAAAAAGAAAAGGTCTATGAATCCACGCTGTTGTTTTTTTTTCTGCTAAATACGTATTCCAAGCAATTACTGCTATGCTATTTTTTTTCTTTGTCTAGGAGGAAAATGAGAGTGCGACACTGCAAAAACTCACAATGCAGACGAACGATTACGTCAAGGAACACTTTTACATGCGGAAGAAGCACAAAATAACTAAGGAGGATGACTGGGTTGGTTTATTGAATTTCACGTTATTTGTCGCTCATGAGTTTCTTTTTTTGTTAAGCAAACGGATGCACTTTATCGATTCATGGTCGCGGCTTCGAAGAAGAGAGCGGAGGCGAAGCGCCAGAGAGGGAGAAGGAAAGCGAATCCATTGTGTGAAGGCTGGGTTTCCTTGTATCGTTTCAAAATTGGCTTTTTTTTACTGTGTTTCAATTCTCGTTTTCGTTCAACAATTTGCTTTGACATCATAGACGACATTAAACAAATGTCTTCTTTTTATTGGTGTTTTATTTCTGGGTTTCAGTGAACTACAATGGCGTCCAGAATGACGATTGCATTTTTGAATGCGACGATGAAGATGACGACGACGAATTCGCCGACGTTGACCTTGTAGAAATTGATGACATTCCGTCAAAATGCGGGGAAGTTGTTGCTAATGAGAAAAATGAGGATTCGGCACAGGTATTCGTTGTTTTTTTTTGTGGTCAAAATGTGTAAGTCTAGCCACTTTTGAGTAAAACTAGTTGTGCATTCTAACTGAAAGCTACACATTCTGAAGTTGAAATAGAATGTTGTACGGTGAGCAGTTTTTCTAAGAGCTGCTGTTGTAGATTCCTAAGAAGACTTCTATTGAAGCTTTGATGTTTGGAGACATCGATGACGATGAGCTAAATAACTCAATAAATGTGGAATCGTTGTACGGAGGTGAGTTTATTTTTGTAGCTCCTCGTGCAGTCACGTAGTTTATTAGTTTTATGGTGGGTTGTATGCGTACCAGGCTTGTTTTTCTTCCAAAATGTGCTCCTCTCGTGAGTCATACCATCTTTTGCAAAGCACATTGCCTTAGGCTGTTTGTCTGTTGGAGAAACCCGTCCGGTTGTTGAGAAGCGAACTGAGGCTTGCACTTTTTTAGAGATTCTGCACCAGCGCATGATGAGGTCCGTAGAAACATTTCATTCTTTTTCATTCGTAAAATGTTTGAAAACGGTTATTAAAACGAACAGAAAGCACTTTACGGAACTGTTTTTGTCGGGGGAAGGCTCCTCGTAAAGTTTATTTAGATTCTGGTCTACAACTGAGGAGCTCACATCGGAAGTTTATGCCCGTGTTCAAGAATGGGAGAATGCAATGCTGCCTATATTGGAAGAGGAGGAAACAAGAAAAGATTTCGATATTCATGAATACGGCGACGAATTACTTGATATGTTCCACGAGGTTGGAGAAGTGAAGACCCTTGATGAGGTATAGTAGTGACAACATTCCATTTTCTAGAATTCTTTTTCATTAGCTTGAAATTAGAAGACTTCGCCTTGTTTTAGCTGTTGGCGGGTCGCAAAAGATATGAGGTTAGTCGGTACTTCCTGGCTTGTCTCATGATGGCCAATACACAAAATGTACGCGTCGAGTGCGACGTTCGGGTTGACGAAAACGGGTCACGTTCAAGCATTACGAAGGTCACCTTGCTGAAGAAGGATCGACATCACGAGGTGTTCGATAGAGAAGGGGCGCTCTAGCGTGTTCTCTTCAGCGAATTGCTTTACGTTGATTGAAATGTCGTTCTATACATACGGTTTCTTTTATCTTCAGCATCTTTTTTTTGCTGTGTATAATGTTCATGTAAATTTTTGTATCAGCTACCCTTTACAATGGCCTTTATTTATTCGTATTCACATATTATGATAAACTGCTTTTTGCTATACTCTCGGTGTTGTCTATAACAGTTTTTGCTTATATTTTTATGATGATACGTTTTATGAAGTACATAACCTTTTAGAACATAATAAAACTTTTTCTCTATGGGTGGATAGCTATCGTCTCCTGAAGTTGAGTGAGCACACCTCTCATTTAGAACCAGTTTTTTTTCAAGTCATTTCCCTTCCAGTATGATAGGGGTCTGGTGTCTTCAAGGTAGAGGTTTCACTGAGTGGGTGAGAACCAGCGGTTTTCCCCATCTCCTCATTCATGGACCGTCATGTTCTGGTAGGCGTGCTGGAATTCACTGCATTTTAAGTCAGTATTTCACCTTTTTACCGTTGAATGGTTTATTGCGGAAATAAGTCTAGGTTTTATGGGGAACTGTAGAGCCGGTGTTGTTTAGAATATCATCGTGGGCTTCGTCGGACAATGGAGAAATACTCGATGAGCTATTGTCTGACTCGATGTTGTCAATCTTCAAATCGGTTAATAGGACTATTAAAGTCAGGATGCATGGCAGTCAGAGTTGTTGTCCCAGTGATGACGAAGTGAGTTTCATATACTGGTTACATTTTTTGTTTATGCCGTACAACTGAGTTCCTAATAAGAATGCCTTGCTAAGTTGATTAGGTTTGCAAGTAAGTATGTTTGTTAATAGCGATCAATGTTCGCATCTTGCGACGGTGAATTCGATATGTATTGAATTGGAGAAGGGTTTGTATGGATGACGACCTGTAAGAGTTGATGACAGCAATCTCGAAGAAAGCTTTCACTTTTCTATTTTAGGTGCGTTAAATATGTTTAACGGTGACCGATAAACTTGGATTCACGATACTGGATTCCATAGTGGATCAGGTGTGCGCTACTACTTATTAAACTTTCTGCTTAACACATCTGCTATCGTGATTTCCTCTCTATTTGGGAGGGAAGTATTCCCAAGATTTCACCGCACCTACTACGAGTCGCTTATGACCCATACTGCTCGTTTTGTTCTCATAGAAGAAAGTTGTGCCGTTCTCCTTATTGCGCTCTGTTGTTCAGTTTTTCTGTGCATTTTCTTTGTAATATCGCTACTTTTCTTCTACTTCATGGACGTTCCCTCTGTTCGAAATATTTTCAATGTACATTGTGGTATTATAAGGACGTCTCCAGTGCTCGAACTGTGCCTGGTTTGGTGGTAATGAGACTTATGGGTGCCTTTTTGGATGAAAGAAAGCATTTATGCATCGATATATGCTGGACCGGAGTATTATTAGGTGTCAGTCTGTCACAGGAAAAGCTCGCTGATTAGCGTGTCTAAGAAGAACAGGGAAGGAATCTTTAAACCAGTCATCCGATAGAAGGTTGAGAGAGGCATTCAGAGGTCTACGAAAACTACTAGTTGGATGTCTACCTAGTTGGACGCTTGTATGACCCATCCTCAGTGATAGCGCCACCAGCACAGTGTCCATTTATTTCTCTGTCTCTCTGTCGTCGTTCATGGCAGTGGTCTGCTCTGAATATGGTGACGTTTCCGAGGCCCATTCCGTAGTCCTGAAATCGTTTCTATCTGATAATGCGGAACGAAAATGGGTGACATTAGCCACGAATAGGTCAGCCCATCGTTTCTGTGTGCTCGTACAAGAGGACGCTTGCATTCTCTTACGGACTACTTCACTGTTTTTCTTTTTTCTTTTCGTATATGTGTCATCTGTTTTTAGTATTATGTGACTGCCTTTTCTATGCTTTGCTATTGATTTATATTCCCTTCAATCGCAAAGATGAGATAGGTTTCGCAGATCTCAGCTCCACATTCCATCTCGATAATGTATAATGGTGGGTTCTCCGTGGAGGCCCTAGTGCGCCTATACTGCTCCTTCTATCTAACTCCTTTTTTCATGTCGATCTCCTTTTTCGTTGATCGGGTTCATTAAATATACTATGTGGCCTCTAAAATCAAAGAACCCTCGGGTTCGGTACTTTTTTCTTCTCAAGACAAAGATTTAGTGGAAATTTCCCATCAATATGTATGTCGTCCAATAGAACGACATCATTACGCATAGCCCTGCGGTAATAAACAGCTTTCGCGGTGTGATTTCGCCTTTTCTGGCCACTTTCTCTATGAGTATAGTAAGGGTCCATTGAAAAGTTCTTTTTATGCTGCACTTCCGATAACGGCCAGCTAGTGTTCGTACATGGGATGAGATCACTCCTTGGTCGTTGAGTGCCGATAGGATTGAATTCGTTTCGACAACACGCTGTCAAACACTTTTTCGTAGTCGAATGAAGTTGGCACCCTGGCAGCCTTCTGTGATCTGTTGATCGGTTTGAATGTAGTACATGCAACAGAATCTCTGCCGGAATCCTGCTTGCTCAGCCAGTTGTGCCTCATCAAAAGTTCTTCTTATGCGGGAAGAGACAAGCTTGGTGCAGAACTTTCCTGTTATCAATTCCATATCATGGCAGGTTGTGATATTGGTGATAGTCCTATCATTGTTCATCAGGGGAGATAGTGTAACATTACAGTTGATACCGACTACTTTTCTTCGGAATGTTTTTAACAACATTCAGTAACTTTTTCTGCCTATGCCGATCTAAATCCTCTTGGAAAAATGCTCTACAGTTGGCATTTATTATTAGCCGCGTTAGGTGTGCCCCACTAGGATCAAGCATCAGTTTTCTTTTTTTCGAATCACTCCTTAATAGTAATGGAGATGTCATCTGGTTATCCTGTTCGGGGAATATTCGCGGTAGCCTACCAATGTATCGACCCAGTGCTGCTACCCTCTCAGACAAGTCTGGTACCAATTTTACAACCCCGGAGTGACGGAGGGCTTGCTGGACCTATGGCGCTGGGATCGATCTCATGTGTATTTCAGGGCGCCTCTGACCACTACGCTACGTGCCCCAATTTAAGCCATCATACATAACTAGTTAGAGCTATTTCAAAGTGGAGTAATAGGGGCAAACTTTTGTTTCACTAACTAAAATTAGCCATGCTGACATATTCCTGTTCTCTTTGCTCTCTCACACATTCCTTGCCAGTTATGTAAGAATTGGGAGAGCATCAACGTGAATCAATGGTGTCTTAAAGCGTTTCGTTGTGTCCAATCCGAAGCGAACACGAGAGGTGGATGGTGGTCAGCCTCATTTCTATCCCAACCATCGATAAGACCTGCCTTTAGAACACAATA